AGGCAGCAGCACCCAGCGAAGCGCTGGGCATGCCGGACTCGGAGGGGTAAAAGGCGGCCAGAGAAGGGGTTGGGGTGAGGGTGGGGGCGCCTGGAGAGACTCACACCCGAAAGACATAGACCTGCGAAGTGGGGGGCGTGTCCCTATCCCGCGTCCCCAGATAGCGGGAACATCCATCACCAAGCCCCTCATCTTACAGGCAGCCACTGCCCGTGGAGCCCCATATCCAGGGGGTCCCTAAATGCCTGCTAGGAAGTCTTAGGAGGCTGGGAGGTGGCTGTTATCGAAGGTTTGCCGAGAGGGTGGTGTCTGTGTGTGTTGGGGGCAGGGGCCTGTGTTGTTATCCCATGCCAGAATTCCTGAGCTCCCTAGAAGTTTCCCCAACTTCCTCATCTTCACCCAAGGAAAGGTTGCGGACAGCAGGCTTCTGGGGTCTGCATCGGCCGTCCCCAGCCTTCCTCATGCACACCCCACTCTCTTACTCATGGTTTAGAGAGGGTCAGGGGGTGGCCCAAGAGAACGGGGAGCCACTTCCACCATTTTCCCCCATCTGAGAGGATTGATGAGGTGGCTGAAGTGACATCACTCCCAAGGAGAGGGCGGGGCGGTCCGCACTGGGAGGAGGAGGTGGCTGCGACTGGTGGCTGGAGAGGGTGGGAGCCCAGGCCAGCTGAGTGGATCTGCGTGTCATCCTTCAAAGTGGCTGCTGTTAGGACTGTCAGAGCCGGGAGTGTGACAATCCCACAGTCACTCAGCCGGCAGGGGGTGTGGACACAAGTCAGGCACGCTTTGTACCCTCAGGCTCTGTCCACTTGCCTGCTGGCTGGCCTCTCCCCAGGCCCTGGAGCCTCTGTTATAAGGATAACTGCCAGACACACAGCTGAATCAATTCATCTGTCCTCGGGGACTGTGGGAGCCTCAGCGTGGGACCAGTGTGGGCCTGCAGGTGCTTGGTTGGACCCCGACATGCTCTGTGCCACTCTCCCCCTATCCTGGGCATTCTCATTCATTCTCACTCCTAGTGACCCTGTGGGACAGGGTGGAATTCCTTCTTTGGCTTTACAGGAGCAGAAAGCCTTATCTTTCTCCTCGGGAGTGGCTCGTGGTTTCAAATTGCTAACCTTGCAGTCTGCAGCCCACTGTGTAACCACTATGCCAGTGGCACGGACCAGCTTAGGCACTGGCAGTGGTCATTCATAGGCCTCTTGGTTGCCCATGGGCTTGTGGAGGGGGCAGGTGTATAAGGGGGGCCGGGCGAGCATTAAGAGCGCAGGATGCAACGGGGAGGGCTTTGCGGAAACGGCGGTCCTGGAAGGCAACATTGGAGAAGATGGCCTCCCCAGGAGGAGAAGCTGATGCTTGGTGTTGTTGCTGTCCCTTTAATGCCTGCACAGGGCTCTGGCACTGTGCCCGGCCCAGATGTGGGAGGAAGGAGCTGGGGAGCCTGGGTGGGAGATGTGCTGCCTCCCGGAAGGGAAAAGTCCCTCGATGCCAGTTGGGTTGGGTGGGCCCAGAGTAGCCAGAGCCCAGGATACGGAGGGCAGCAGACATGAGACAGGTGCAGAGCAAGTGGGCTGTGTGACCCTCCACTGGCTCTGCTCCACCAGCCAAGCTGAGCTGAGTCAGGGGAGATGACGCCTGCCTTCAGGGGAGGCCACATTCCAGGAGAGGAGCCTCGAAATGGGAAGCAAGAAACAGCTGGAATGGGGCCCGGCGTAGCTCTGTAGCGTTGGAACCCCAAGCCACAGCCGTGGAGTAGATTCCACAACACAGCAGCCCCAGCTGTTCCCAAGGTTGCAGCTCATGACAGAAGCCGCTGCCACATCCCACATCTTTCTCCCTCAGACTGGCTGGTGGGTTTGAACTTCAGACTTTGTGGTTAACAGTCTAGCGCTTGCCTCTTCATGCCGCCAGGGCTCAGAAAGGTTTAGGCAAAGTCCCCTTAGAATTGGAGGAGGAGGACCAGGGGGTCCCCAGGTAAGAGGAGGCCCGAAGGTGCAGGGTGGGGGTGGGGGGCCATCTGTGCGAAGGCAGGGGCCAGTGAGAAGTGTGGAGAGGCCTAAGGTGCTGGGGTGAGGGGAGATGGGGGGAGAGGCATCCAGAGGGCTTGGTTGTGGGTCCAGGAAGTTCCAGGCCCAGCTTCTGAGTTACCATCCCTGGGGGTGGGGGGGACAGAACTGAACTGCTGGAAGGTGCATGGGAGGTGTGACATGCCCAGTTCCTGCTCCCTCCCTCCCCACCATGGTGCCTTCTGCCCGGCTCTTCCCTGCTGGGCCCTGAGATGCCCCGGAAGTGGCTTCCCTTTGCAGGGATCAGCCCCAACTTCAAACCTCCTCTGGGGACTGTTTGACGTTGATGCTGCTCCATCCCCACAGTGGGAGGTGGTGGGACAAGCGAGGTCTGTTTTGCTGTCTGCCCACCGCCACAGCACCTGTCAGAATAGAAGCCATTCATTATTAAGCCCCCGCAGAGGGGTCAGGCAAGACAGGTGCTGTGGCATCTCATAAAGGCAAGAGATGGCTGCTAAGTCATGAACTTGGTGACCTGGTGCCCACCCGCCCCTGCAGACCCTGACCTTGAGTCCTCAGCCTGGGAGGAGAGCTCTGGCCTGGCCCCACCTGGTACCCTAAGGAGGCCTGCCCCTGCCCTGCGGGCCTGCAGCTTGTGAACAGGACCCCACAGCTCTGCCTTGGGTTGGACACGCCCGTCTTATTCCCTCTTGACTTTTGCCTTTTTTTGCTGTCCCCCATGCCTCCCCTCCCCTCCATCCCTAATCTCTCTGGTGCTGCAGCTGTAAAGGGCAGAGGGATTTCAGGGTTCCTCTGCAGACATCACCGTGCCCGCCCCACCTACAGTCAATCCCCTTCCACACTTCTAGGCGTGTTTCCTCCGGGCAGCACTCTGAGAGGGGTAGCATGGAAGGTGGCACCTGAAGGAGAAAGCCCAAGTCCACAGGGTTTTTTGCCAGCTTGGGTCAGTGTGACCAGGAATCTGAGGTGACTGGCGCTTTATTGCCCCAGCTGACTTCCTGCTTGGCCAGCTCCTCTGTCTTCCGCCTCCAGCCTCCCTCCCCTGGCCCTGGAGCCATCTCCTGCCCTCAGCTGACTGGTCCCTTCCGGCAGCGCTGAGGAGCTTAGCTTCCACTGGGATGCATTTTCTCTGAGGCAGCCTCTGAGTTCCCTGGCCCCTGCAGTTTGGGGATCAGGAGGTGGCCCAGTCACACTCACCACCTCTGCAGGGTCCCCTTTCACATGCCAACTTTCAGGTGCCCCAGCCCACCAGTGTCAGGGGCACACACAGCCCAGGCACTCACGGGCAAGAAGCCCAAGAGGGCTGGGTTTATCTTGGCGGATTCTCCTCTAGGAAGGGCATGATGCCCTTTTGCGGAGACTGCTGTCTCCTGAGAACACACCCAAATTAGTGCAGCACCGTCTCGCCCTCCTCATTTCCAGGGAGTGCCCTGATCCAGCCGTACTTCTCCCAAGACAGATGCGCTTGCTCTCCTGGCAGGCCTGGTGCTGTCCGTCTGCTTCCCAGTGCCATCGTTCAAAGGCATCCGTCCTTCTGAGGCCTTCCTGGGTTGGTGTCTAACTGTCCCATGCATGTGGACCGACTGAAAACACCAAGGCCTGGGCCAGGGAGTGTTGCCGCCCCCCCATCCCCCCACCACCCCCGTTTACGAGGTTTATAGTGGCGCCATCACCAGAAGGCTCCACTATTCACGGCCGAAGGCGCTTCTCGAAGATGCCGCTTTGGTTTTCAATTGGCAGCGGTGGAAAGCTGAGTAAGGCTTCCAGGTGCAGGCATTGCAGCCTTGCCAGGTTAGCAGCTCTCTGCACCCTCTCTCGGCCACAGAGCCGTGTCCCCTAGAGCCTGGGCACCAAGCCCACCTCAGGCCCAGAGGTTCCGCCTCCCCAGGCTGAAATCCTCTCATGGGAGCAGACTCCGGGTTTGGTCACGAGGGGCAGCTTGGCCCTAACTGCGTGTCTTTGGCCACCTGACTTTTAAAGGTCAAATCAGACCTTGCATAGTTTTGGGAGGACAGGGAGTCAAGGCTCTGCCCTCCATGGCCCATCGGCAGTCACTGCCGTCCAGGGCTGACGAAGAGAAAAACGGCCACCTCCTAGCTGCTGGGTGCCTAGCGCAGGATCCAGCTGAAGCAACGGTGCTTATAAAACGTGCTGGAGGAGTATAAAGACCCTCCATCCTCCAGGGACCCTCAGACGATCACTGTGTTTAAAATGAGCATGCAGTGGAATCCCGGACCGTATCCTGAGGGCCCCAGTGGGAAGTGCCTTTATGCATCTGGAGCTAGGTTTGCACCAGCCTGGAAGGTGGGATGTTGTCAGAAAGAGAGAGAGACCAGCCCTTTCCTGGCCAGCAGTCTGGGGAACTGCATCAAGGAGACCACCCTTCCTAATGGGAATTCTGTGTTTCAGAAACTATCCTAAGGAAACAGGCAGTGATTGACACAAAGTGATTTGTTTGGTTGGTTGTTTTTTTCTTTAACTTTATGGTGGTGAAAGTCTACTTGACGAGACACACCTTCTGTCCGCCAATTTCTAACTCTCAGTAACGCTTCTCCATCCGCCTGTGGTCCCCGCCCAGAGATGCAAGGATGCAGTGAGTATGAATGGCAGATTCGTTTCTTAACTTGTTTCTTTTTGTGTCTGTTTCTTTATTTCCTAACTCTGTCCATTGCTTTATAACTGGTTTATTTCTTACTTTCTCATTTTAAGTTGGCTGGAGGGTTACAGAGCCTGCCAGTTATCCGCTCGGACACCTGGTTTCATGCCACAGATGGCATCCCCACTTCCTCCCCGTATCCCTGTTTCCGTTCCTCCTGACTTACTTCTATCAGAGAAAGATTGAGAACAGCCGGGAAAGTTCGACAATAAGGACTGGTTAGGGAAAGCTACTTAAAGGGACTTGGATACTGGTCCCTGGTGGGAAAAAGAAAGGTTTGCTCTCAGCTGCTAGCCAGGCGGTTGGCTGTTCAAACCCTCCTGGCGGCACTGCGGAAGAAAGGCCCGGCGAGTGACTCCGTAAACCAAGGAAAGCCTTGGGGAGCCTTGAGTGGGGCTGGCGGCAGGGCAGTCGGTTTGGCTTCTTTTTTTCCCCCTCCATTTATTTTAACCAACAGAATATTCCACACCCTCCGAAAATGACCACACAGGCACTCATTGGCACCAGCCACGTGTCTGAATGATGACAGGCAAACCCAAGCCAAGTTCACTGCCATCGAGGATCCCAACTCACAGGGACCCTCGAAGGCAGGCTAGAACGGCCCCTGTGGGATCCGAGATGGTCACTCTTTACCGGCGTAGAAGGCCTCGTCGTTTCTCCAGCAGAGCAGCTGATGGTTTTGAACTGCTGATCTTGCGGTCAGCCGCCCAACTCATAACCTCTACACCACCTGAACTGCTGATCTTGCGGTCAGCCGCCCAACTCATAACCTCTACACCACCTGATGAAGGCGGGGACCGAAAAATACAATTCTGCCTACACAAACTTGCATCTCCAGGTGTTTTAAGCACAGCTCTTTGGAGGGCGGGCCACCCCGATGCTACCCCCGTGCTTCTCTAGGTGGGGTGTCTACTTTTCTCCCCCCCACTCCCCATTACGCTCTTCTCACCCCATCCCCCATTTCTTTCACCACCCTTTGGGGACCTCGAAGTGTCCTTTGATTTTGTTGTATATCAAGCATGCCCTGCTAATCACGACACGGCAGCTCTTTAAGGAGACCGTGTGTCAGTGCAGCGCTGGGCTGGCTGCGAGTGTCTCGCCAGCACCCTGCCCCAGCCTCGGCCTGTGGACTGAGCCGCCGGAATCTTTTTTTTTAATCATCTTATTGGGGGCTCTTACAGCTCTTCTCACAATCCATCCATCCATCCGTTGTGTCAAGCACGTTGCCGTCATCCTTTTCAAAACGTTTTCTCTCTACTTGAGCCCTTGGTATCAGCTCATCCCCCCTCCCTCATGAACCCTTGTCGTTTATCTTTTTTTTCCCCCATGTCTTACACCAACCGCTGTCTCCCTTCATCCACTTTTCTGTTGTCTGTTATATGTCGATCATTGTGATCAGTCCCCTTTTCTCCCCCTACCTTCCCCCTATCCTATCGCTGCTCTAATTGTTGATCCTGAGGGGTTTATCTGTCCCGGATTCCTTGTGTTACCAGCTCTTATCTGTACCCCTGTACATGCTCTGATGGAGCCGGATTTGTAAGGTAGAATTGGGGTCATGAGAGGAAGCATTAAAGAACGAGAGGAGAGTTGTGTGTTTCATCGGTGCTATACTGCACCATGACTGGCTCATCTCCTCTTTGTGACCCTTCTGTAAGAGGATGTCTAATTGTCTACAGATGATGGGCTTTGGGTCTCCACTCCACCTTCTCCCTCATTTACATTGATAATTGACATCATTTTTGTTGTTGTTGTTCTTAGTCTTTGATGCCTGATCCCTGATCCCATCGACACCTCATAATCACACAGGCTGGTGTGCTTCTTCCATGTGGGCTTTGTTGCTTCTCAGCTAGATGGCTGCTTATTTATCTTCTTTTTTTTATCAGCTTTCTTCACCACACTGGCTTATGCACCCATTTTGTCTTCAGTGATTTTTTTTTTTAACAGCTTCAATGAAGTATAATTCACATCCCACACAATTCACACAAGTCGACATGTACAAATTCAGTGGTTTCCCCTCCCGCCTTATGTACACACAGAGTAGTGGGACTGTGCTGGGAGTACGGTGACCAGGAGTTCTCGGGGAAGGGAGAAGGGCTTGCTGAAAGAAAGAGGCTGCAGAACTGAGCTCTTCGGTAGCCTCTGCTCCGGTGCGTTTGCCCATGTCTGGGGTGCTCTTACTCCACGGGCCAGCTTCCTCACTGTACGGACGGACGGTGTGAGAGAGGAAGTCAGAATGACCCACCCAAGGCCACCAGCTGGCATGTGGCTGCGCTGGGAGTAGAGACCAGGTCTCTTCCACCCGGACAGGTGCCATTTGGACCTCCTCCTGCCACCCCTGCTCCTTCCCAAGACTAACATCCCTGGGCAGCCTAGCGTGTGACGATTCCCAGTTCCATCAGAGAGAGAGGGTGCAGGGAATTGGGGGGAAGGGGAGACTAGAAGGAAGAGGCTTGATGTACTGGAATCCCTCAAAATTCTCCTTAGTGCTTCTAGGGAAAGGGGACCTAGACTTGGGGGTGACCGTTCCCTGCCAAACATACACTAAACATATGTATCACTGTAGTTGTTGCTAAAATGACCTAGGCTGGAAGGGATGTTGAAAATGCTTTATAACTGATGGGCCTCCCGGGCCTCCCATTGCCCCCAAGAAGATTGAGGTCTTTTGTTTTGAGGGCCCCGGTATACTTTATCCACGGGTCTGTGGGGGCGTTCACAATTGATTTCCTTATGAGGAGCTGCTCTCTGCCAGGCACTGGGGGCATCAGTGAACAAAATACACAAAACACCTTGCTCTGGGGAAAATAAAGAAAAAAGATGGAACCGGGATAAGCCATTGGAGGTGTGATAAGTTGTTGAAGGCAAAAATGCCATCTGATCAATAAATCCTGCCTAATTCACAATGAAAAGGTGTTTAAAAACCTCTGCCCTCCTTAAGCTTGACGCACCAGTGGTTCAGTCGCAGAACCCTTCCCTTGTGTGTTAGTCCCGGTAGACTAGAGAAACAAATTCATAAACACACATATGTGTATAAGAAAGGGCTTTACATACGAGAGCAATTGAATATTGAGAAAATATCCCAGCTCAGTCCAGATCAAGTCCATAAGTCCAATATTAGCCCATATGTCCAATCGCAATCTATAAAGTCCTCTTCAGACTCACAAAACACATGCAATGACACCAAGTGCAGGAAGACCACAGGGCAGGGGGTGGGAAGTCTTGTGGATCCAGTGGCAGTGGAAGCATCTCAGTGCTGGCAGGGGTCTCCAGCTCCCCAGGCTGCATCAGGGTAGGTCCATGTGGCTTCTCCTCAGGGATGTCTCGCAGGGAATCAGCCTTGTCGGTAGTAGAGCGTCTCACAGGGAGTGAACTGAGAGTGTGTCTCCCACCTCGAAGGAGGAAATACCAGAGTTCCCAGAATTCTCAGAAGGCCATGCCCACACAGAGGCCTCATTGGCTATACAATGATTGACAGGCTAGACTCCACCCCTTCACTTGTAATCCTCTCACGTTGACAACAGATTTACATAACCACCATAAACTTCCACACTCACTCCAAACAAAAACCAAAAACCTTCCCCCGCCTTCAAGTCAAGGCTAACTCAACCCCCCAGGGGGCTCTGCCACGCGGGACACCCTAGTTCCATTCCCAGGCAGGGCACTTCCTGCTCAGCCACCGCCTGCCTTGTCAGTGTTGCTACAATGCTGACCAGGTTCCAGCAGAGCTTTCAGACTAATCTAGGAAGAAAGGCCTGGTCACAACAGAAAAGTGAAGGGGAGGGAGTAGGGGGAAGGGAAGGTATGATTTAAATCAGGGGCTTGAGGGAGACCACTCAAGAATGGGGGCATTGAAGGAGGAGAGGGTGTGAGCCTTGAGGTGCAAGGTGTGGGGGGAGCATGCCAAGGACAAGTGGCAGTCCAAAGGCCCGTTCCTGGCTTGCATCTAAGCCTGGGACTCCCTGGTGACAGTGTCCTCCTTGTCTAGGATCCTCAGAGGCCAGTCCAGGTTGGATGCCTGGAACAGTAAAAGGATCCTCTGGCTTTGTAGGAAGCCTTGATGGTACAGTGGTTAAGCACTCAGCTAACCGGAAGGTCCGGGAGTTCGAATCCACCAACTGCTCTTTGGAAGAAAGAGGTGGCTGTCTGCTTCTGTGAAAAGCAGGCTTGGAAGTCCTAGAGAGTCCTGTAGTGTCGCCACGAGGCAGACACACGGCAGCAGGTCCTGACTTTGTGCTCTTACTGTTCCTCTTTCTTCCCCCCACCCCAGACCTGCACCTGGCCGCGGAGCTGGGCAAGACGCTGCTGGAGAGGAACAAGGAGCTGGAGGAGTCCCTGCAGCACATGTACACCACCAACGAGGAGCAGGTGCAGGAGATCGAGGTGAGGGCCTGGGGGCTTGCACCACGGGCCTTTGTGCAGCTAAGAAAAAGGCAGACGCAGCCCCTGTCCGACAGCCTTGCACCGTTCACTGTCTCCGGCAGCCCTGTCGTCCCATCCTCACCCCTGTATTTGAAGTCCCTGCCAACCTATTTCTAGAAGTAGCAGGAGGGTTCTGGTAGAGACATCCCCTAAAGAGCCACGCGGGCCCCCTGTCCACCCAGTACCTGGCCAAGCAGCTGGACACACTGCGGCACGTGAACGAGCAGCATGCCAAGGTGTACGAGCAGCTGGACCTGACGGCCCGGGACCTGGAGCTGACCAACCAGAAGCTGGTGCTGGAGAGTAAGGCTGCCCAGCAGAAGATCCTCGGGTGAGGGCCAGGGCTGCGGGAGGGAGGGGCTGGGAGGCAGGCCAGGGAGTGGGGGCGGGGGGTGGCGTCCATGGCTCCTGGCTTAAACATTCAAGCCACAGTGCTGCTTTAAGCTTCCACTCCACTCTGGGCTGTTTCGGCTCCAAGATAGTGTGATGCACAAGTGGCCCGCCCTGCTGGGAGCTGGCCGCCTGGGGCAGAGGCAGCGCTGCACGGTTAGACCTAGACCACAGGTAGTGGTGTCATGGAAGGGGTGGTGGTGGGGGGATGGGCTTGGCCTGGGAGGTGTAGGAGAGGGGAGTGGGTTCTGGATCAGACAGGGAATTCTGCCCTCTGTGTTCAGTGCCAGGAGCATGGCCCCCAAACCCAAGTGCTGCTGTGTCACGGAATCCAGCCCCGAACACATCATCACAGGTCCAGCAGGTGCAATTGTACGGTGATAATAAGTAAAGGTTATAGTAAAGTCATAGAGAGCATGAGAGATAGAAGAGAGTGAAATAATGGAGTCAGACACATCTCATGGTAGCATGCTCACCTCAGCCTCACTTGGTGGTCCAATAAAGAGAGAGCCTCTTTATTGCTAACCAAGGCTTATATCTCTTTGGGGGCATACAAGCCCCCTAATTACAGGTAAAGATATATGCTACAGGACGAGGTTATGCTATAGGTACTACAATAATGGGAGGGGGGTGATCTAGGGTTATCCATGCAGTAGGAAGGGGAGTTATTGGGGGTACATGTGTGACAAGATGGGCGGATCCTAGATTCAGGGAGGCAGCTTAATTTTGGATGTCACTGTGCGGGGTTGACCTGTTCTCTGGCTCACTATTAGAAACCATTATCAGTAGGGTGTAAACCCCACCTACAGGGACCAGACTGATGGCTGCAAATGGTTAGGGAGAAGTAGCCCATTGTCCTAACAGCAGGGAGTGGGCCCCTCTTGTGGTGGGACCTGACGGTAATCTGGCAACTGACTGCCTTCAGGAGGATGTCTCTGAGCATCTGACATCCCACCATGTGCTGGCACATAGCCTCTAATGTGTGGCATATCTTTGGGGGAGACAAAGCTGGGGGGAAATCTCTGTGTAATCCCACACTGCTATTGTTCAGAGACAGGTTTCAACAGAGCTTCCAGGCCAAGGCAGACCAGGAAGAAAACCCTGTGGATTACACGGGAACATTGTCCAGGCTGCAGCCAGATCAGGGGCTGGCGCAGCCCGTCCTTCTGCAGGGAGCCAGGGCTGGGGACTGGCAGGGAGGAGGGCTGGTTCTGTCCACTTCTGCATGTGCCGCGTCCGACCCCCACTCAGGCTGACGGAGACCATTGAGCGCTTGCAGGCCCAGGTGGAGGAGCTGCAGGCCCAGGTGGAGCAGCTGCGGGGCCTGGAGCAGCTGCGGGTGCTCCGGGAGAAGCGGGAGCGCCGGCGGACCATCCACACCTTCCCCTGCCTCAAGGAGCTGTGTACCAGCCCCCGGTATGCGAGAGGGACAGACAGCAGTGTGTCCCTGGCTGCTGGCTCGGGGTGGACCGGAAGGGTGGGCAGCGGTGGGAACGAGCCTGGGCGCACCCTCCAGGCTGCTGAGGAGACCCTGGCCCTGTCGCTGGCGAGAATAGGGTTCTTATCCCAGGCCACCCTCGTAGGAAGGTGCACTGTGAGCGCGCCACCTGGGAAGGGCTCAGCACCCCCCTCTCGGTCCTTCCCCGTGGCATCTCAGGCAGTAGGACTCCTGTGTCAAGTTTCTGTCTCTCTGGGCATTTCAATAAGGGTCCTGGCAGGCAGCAGCGTCATGAGTGTCATCGCCCAGGGTTGGGTGCTGTCGCCATACCGGGCCACGGGGCGAGGCTGGAAGCCGGGTACCGCGGAGACAGCCCAGGGATGCTGTCCTTGTGACCTCACGCTCCACCCACCCGCTGACCTCCCATGGGCTGCACCCACCAGACAGGAAGGGTTGAGGCAGGCGGCGTGCTGCAGATCCAGAGGGGCACTCAGAGGACAACAGCTGTGCGTCCAGGTGGGGCTGAAGTGAGGTGTGGGGCGCTTTGGCCGTGACCCCTGCCCTTTGACCTCCCCGCAGGTGCGAGGATGCATTCCGCAGGCACAGTTCCTCCTTGGAGCTGGGCCCACGGCCCCTGGAGCAGGAGAACGAGCGGCTGCAGACGCTGGTGGGGGCGCTGCGCTCGCAGGTGGGCCAGGAGCGGCAGCGCAGGGAGCGCGCTGAGCGCGAGTACACGGCCGTGCTGCACGAGTACTCGGAGCTGGAGCGGCGGCTGGGCGAGCTGGAGGGCTACCGCCTGCGCGTGCAGGAGCTGGAGGCCGAGCTCCTGGAGCTGCAGCAGATGAAGCAGGCCAAGACCTACCTGCTGGGCCGGGAGGACCACCTGGCCGAGGCCCTGCTCCAGCCGCTCACCCACGCCCCAGAGGCCGACGACCCCCAGCCGGGCAGTGGCGGCGACGTGGACGCCCCGGATGGCCTCTCCTCGCCGGCCGCCTCCCCCAGCCACGCCGTGCGCAAGAGCTGCAGCGACACGGCGCTCAACGCCATCGTGGCCAAAGACCCGGCCAGCCGGCACGCGGGCAACCTGACGCTGCACGCTAACAGCGTGCGCCGGCGCGGCATGTCCATCCTGCGCGAGGTGGACGAGCAGTACCACGCGCTGCTGGAGAAGTACGAGGAGCTGCTGAGCAAGTGCCGGCAGCACGGGGCCGGCGTGCGGCACGCGGGCGTGCAGACCTCCAGGCCCATCTCCCGGGACAGCTCGTGGCGGGACCTGCGGGGGGGCGAGGAGGGCCCCGCGGAGGCCAAGGCCGGGGACAAGAGCCTGAGCCAGCACGTGGAGGCTGTGGACAAGCGGCTGGAGCAGAGCCAGCCCGAGTACAAGGCTCTCTTCAAAGAGATCTTCTCCAGGATCCAGAAGACCAAGGCCGACATCAATGCCACCAAGGTCAAGACCCACAGCAGCAAGTGAGGCTCCCGCCTGCACCTCCAGGGCCCCTCCCTCTGCCGGTGGGGTCTGCAGCCTCCTCTCAGGCCTGGGGTCCTGCAGGGTCTGGTGAGATAACAAACCTTAGAGTAAGCAATACATCAGAGCCGGCTTCCGTGGACGTACAGGAAGAGCCAGGGTCCCTGGCTTGGGGAGGGTGGCAGGGGAGGAGGTGAGGGGCAGTGTGTGTCCTGCTCACGACTCCCAGGAGCCCTGACCATCCTGCCCAATGTCCTCTAGCTCACTCTCCCCTCCCCAACCACCCCGATGGGCCCCCATCTCCCATGCCATGCGACCCCACGCCTCACCCTCAGCTTTGCCGCCAGGCTCGAAAGCCATTGGGGACCCGCTGATGTCTTTTCCAAGTTCTGCTTTCAGGGAGATTTGCAATGTCAGGTCTCTACACCGGCCCTTCGCCACCACTGGAAACACTTGAAGGGGGACCCAGAACCAGCTGTTGCCGGTCCTGCGGGCCCCTGGACCACTCACTGCTTTGCCCCAGCTGGCACCCTCTGCCTTCTTTGGCACCAGCTCTCTCACCCACCAGGTCAGGAGGCAGCCCCTGCGATGCCTGGCTCTCCCCTGTACCCGGGACCTCTGCAGTCTTAGCCAACCAGAGGAGGGGAAGAGGGTACCCCCTTAGCCATACAGGAAGCAGGCGTCCTCAGCCAGCCCCTGGGGTTTGAGCCCCTGAAATGCCTGCCATCTAGGTTAAGCCTTCAGGACTGGGGGGTTGGACACATCTCCCCTCAAAGCAGGAGCTCGACCTCTGCCTTGCTTCTCCGCGCTGCCTCTGTCTCAGGGACCATGGCGTCTCACCCGCTGGCCACCACAGAATGCCCTGGGCATGCACCACCAGCCAGTGGTCTCAGCATCCGCTCTTATCCACGTATCCTCCCCGCACCCCACCTTGGGGACTGCCTGCTGCTTGCCACACTGGGGGTACTACACGGAACCTCCTCTGTCTCCAGAAAGCCACGCTTCAGCTCTGGAAAGCCCAGGATCCCCAGCTCACCCTGAGCAGTTCTACCGAGCTTCCCATATTCCCCCTGCTGCCCACCCGAAGCCCTAGAACTAGGAGGAGCCAGGCATCCTGGTGGGAAGACCAGAGACGCCAGGCTAAGGCCCAGCTGGGGACCGTCATGCCTTACTTCTTTCTCGTAGGTAAAGGGATCTTCTTACCACACATGCCCGGGGGGGCCCTGCCCTGCTGCAGGCGGCACTATGAGGAGGGCTGGGACCAGGCCACTGTCATATAGGGCGGAGGGAGGGCAGTGCAGGCTTCAATCTGCTCACACCCCAGCTCTGTAGCCACCAGCCAACCTCCCCTTTGGAGTATTCCTGAGAGAAATATATTTACAAATGCTTTATTCTCTTCTTTAATAAAAAACGCACCAGTATTCTAAAAGCAGCTGCAGCCCCAGGAGCCTTTGTGTCACTCCCTCAACCCCAGGGAACCTGACCTCTGCTTCCTAACTCCACCCCCCACCCCACCCCCAGGCCTCTGCCCTCAGCCTGGCCCCTCCTTCCTCAGCGCTGGAATGCTATCAGTAGACCCAGACCCTGAAGTGTCTGCTTACAAATTAATGCACCCAATCAGCCATACAGTAGGGGTGTGGTCAACACATGGGCACCTGGTCAGCAAGCAGCCGGGGTCCTGGTTGGCTAGGTTGACGTTCTGGTGTGAAGAGAGATCGCCACAAACCACATTCACACACGCTGCCAGCCATTGAGTCACTCCTAGTGACCCCACAGGACAAAGTAGAACTGCCCCTGTTTGGTAACTCCCAAACCAAACTCACTGCCATCCATTTGATGTCCACTCACAGTGACCCTCTAAGACAGGGTAGAACGGCCCCTGTGAGTTTCTGAGGCGGTAACGCTTTACAGGAGTAGAAAGCCTCATCTGTCTCCCCAGGACCAGTTGGTGGTTTTGAACTGCTGACCCTGCAGTTAGCAGCCCAACAAATGACCACTATGCTACCGGGCCTCCTTACAAACAGATGAGGTGGGAAAATTGGGCAGGACGGCAGTGTGCCAAGTGCTTTCAAGAGAACAAAAATTGTTCTTGAGGGATTAAAAAAAAAATCCTGATTTTTAAAATGTATACCCATACAGTCTTATGTGCAGCTGTAAAACTCCTTGGGGGAGTGTTAGGGGGAAAATACTCACTGTGTTAGTCTGGGTAGACTAGAGGAACATTCATAGACATTCATGTGTATAAGAAAGAGCTTTATATACAAGAGCAGTTGAATATTGAGAAAACAGCCCAGTCCAAATCAAGTCCTTAAGTTCAATATTAGCCCACATGTCCGATACCAATCTATAAAGTCCCCTTCAGACTCACGAAATACATGCAATGATGCCAAATACAGGAGCATCACAGGCCAGTGGGTTGGAAGTCTTGTGGATCCAGTGGCACTGTAAGCATCTCAGTGCTGGCAGGGGTCTCCACGTGGCTTCTCTGGCTCCAGAGGTCTGGTTTCCTCAGGTAGGTGGCTTGGCCAGCTCCCAGGGCGTAGCGCCATGTGCCGTGTCAGTAGAGCGTCTCAGGGACAGCAGAGAAGTGTCTCCCGCCTCCAAGGAGGAAAAACAGAAGTTCCCAGAATCCTCAGGAGAGGGCCATGCCCACACAGAGGCCTCATAGGTTTTATCTTGATGGACAGGCTGGACTCCATCCCTATATTCGTCATCCTCTCCAATTGACACCAGATTAGGTAACTACCACACTCACCCTCGGTGGTAGAGGTACCCTGTGGAAGGTTTTGCCCTTTCCTGAAGGTTGAGGAGAAACTGGTTCCCCAGGGTAGTCCCGGTGATCAATGCATCCAACAGTAACCACAAAGGTTGGCGGTTCAGGCCCAGCCAGAGGCACCCTAAAAGACAGGCCTGTTGTTACTTTGGTACCATCGAGTCAGTTCCAACCCAGAGATCGGACCCCTCCCCGTCCTGCACTGTCCTCACAACTGGCCCTGTGATTACAGCCTGTGTCCATCCATCTCCCCGAGGGCCGCCCTCTTTCTCTTCCTCTCCACTTGACCAAGCACGATGCCCTTCTCCAGGGCCTGGTCTCTGGTCTCTCCTGACAAGTCCAAAGTACGTGAGACGAAGTGTCGCCGTCCTTGATCTGAGAACCAGCCGTTGGAAACCTGGTGAATGCTGCTGTGCACACGCTCACGTGTCACACACACACACACACACCACATTCTCTCTCTCTGATCAACTCCGCTCCATGGCAGCTAGCTTGGTGATGATCTCTTCCTCCCTCCCTTTTTCTCAGCCCTGGAAACGTCCCCTCCCACGCCTTCGGAGGACCTAGGAGTCAAAGGGAAAAGCTCGCCTCAGGCTCCGGTGCCCATCTGTATAGAACAGGTGGCGCCTCTTAGGTCTGTTTCTGCCATTCTGGAAGGTTCCTGGCAACAGCAGGTGAGAGGAGCTTACCAGCTGCTCTTCTCTCCACCCCAGGGCAGCTGGCCTCATTCTCCTCTACCTGCTCCTCTCCCAGAATCCAGGCCACCAGATGGCCTGAGCAGGCTGTGTTCATTTGGGGCCCTGGAAACCTGCAGCTCCCTTTCCTACTGCTCGGGGTCAGGTTTGGGGCTGGAGCCCAGTCACAGGGAAATGATGCCGTAGAGGGATTCTGATTCATTTCTTATAATCCTCTGAGCAGCTTATGCCTGTCACCATGGCGACACCGCAGTTGCCTCTGAGATTTGGGGACTAAGGCAGACAGGCAGGGAACCCAGGGGACTCTGCTTCCAGCCTGGAGCCCCAAGCAAATGTCAGTAGATGTGGGGTGACAAAGCCAGTTCCTTCCCTCCTAAAGACTGGCTGTACCAATGATGCTGAGAAGAGAATGCCTTGATTTGATTACCATACAACCCTGTTTTAAACAGCCAGCGCCCTCAGGGGCCTCTTTTATTTTAGGCCACTATGCTTCTTCCTGAAAACAACTCTTCATTAAAAGGCAGCTACTGATATGACTGACCTTTACTAACAGTTTTGGGGAGGGGGCAGCAGGGGGGGGGAAATGTTTTTTCGATCTGCCTCTCCAAGTAACATCCTAGTGTTTGTTTTCCAGACCAGCTTAAACCTTTCTCAAAGCAAGACCGTCTCAGTTCTGGAGTTCATCATGATGAACTAACAGCCCTGGAAAAGGACTGTTTAACTTTGTGGTCCTTAGACCTTAACTCCTGGTTAGGAGGAACCATCGCTGAGTTCTATACGTTGTCCCCCGCACAAGACTAGGGGTGGAGGCGGCAGAGGGTGTATGCTCCAATTTACAAAACCGTTTCTTTTTGCAACCTGCCTCCCATCCCTTCCATCTGGTATTTGTCCTGCGAGAGTGTCTGGGGATAAACTATGAGACCCAGGCTTAGGGAGACAGGTATAAATCGCCTTGTGAAAATAACTTGAAGTTACATTTCCACAAAACTCAGGTTGCCAGTGTTCATAGGCCTCGTTCTAGGTGCTCAGGACACGGTAGACTGCTGACGCACCGTGGGTTGTGACTCACGGCCACCCAAGGTGTCACACAACAGAACTGCACCTGGCTGTACTCTTCACAGAAAGTGACCACCAGGCCTTTCTTCCGCGGCACCCCTGGGCTAGGCCCAGCTCAAACCGTTTGCACCACTTGGGGTCTTTGCTAGCAGGGAGGCAGGCAATAAATACTAAAAATGGGGTCGAGTGATATGCCAAAATTAAAAAAAAAAATTTTTTTTTAAGGATTAAGTAGAGTGGGATGCAGGGGGTTGGGGGCGCTGGGCTGCAGGGCCCTAGAGGAACTAGGCAGGTCGGGGCGGGCCTCCCGGATGTGCGAGGGAAATTGGGAGGAAAGGTCCAAGGGGAAGGATCCAGGCGGTTCTTTTTGTGATTAAGAGGAAACTGGCAAATTCGCTGTCTGGCCAGCTTCATCCAGAATCCCGCCTGGGCCTCCAGCGGGCGAGGACGCCGAGAGTCTGGTCGGCCGCGTCTCCTGCGCGGACCCGAAAGGCGGCGCGGAACCTCCGCCGACCGGAAGCGCGAGCCGGCGGACGACCGGAAGGAGGGCGCCGCCGGAAGCGGCCCGGACCCGAGCATGGCGGCCGCCCGCTGCCTCCGCTGGGCCCGCGTGGGCCGCGCCGGGTCCTGGCTGCTCGCGCCGCCCGCGCGCTGTCTGCGCCGGGCCCTGCACAAGCCGGCGGACGGCGCCCAGTTCCGGAGCATCTACAGCCTGGACGAGCTCTACCCCGAGTCCACGGGGCCGGGCACCGCCTGGAAGGTCCCGGTGAGCCGGGGGACAGGGAAGGGCATTGCCTCCCGGCGGCGGGGTGACGTCACAAACCTGGGTGTCCATTGGCCAGCACTGCAGCCGAGTGGAACCGGCCACGCGCCAGGGAAGGGGCTGGTTGCCGGGGCAACTGGGGTGGAGCCCGAAGGGGAGTCCGGGTGGGGCTCGGGCGCTTCCGGCTTGGGCAGCGCGCTCTGGACACGCTTGTTGGAAGACCGCCAGCTTTTTTGCCTTAGAGCCCCGTCCCCAGGGTCCGAAAGAAAAATGTGAGCATGCAGATCCTCCGAGGGGACTGAGCATGGCCAGAGCCTGCCAGGCTGTTTGCTAAAAGGAAAGTCACGCTGCCCACAGCCTCAGAAAACCGGACCACGCACTCATTGCGCCTGCGTTACTGATAGCCCGCGGTGTGCAGACCGTGTAGCATCCGGGTAGGGAACCTTTGTGTGGCCAAGGGCAATTTGCATATTTGTAACATCATCCGAGAGCCATACTGGTCAAACATTTGATTAACTCACCTTTGGTGGCAGTAGTGGTTACACATTGGACTGCCAACTGCAAGGTCAGCAGTTCGAAACCACCAGCCGCTCCGCGGGGCAAGACAGCTTTTCAGTTACCAGAAACAGGGGCAGTTCTCTGCCCTATAGAGTCACTATGTGGCCACATCAACTCATGGCAGAGAGTTTGTGTTTTTTGTTTTTTGTTTTAGTTTAATGCGATGGCTGGAATCTCACTTCTCTTTGGTGAGGTGTGTGATGTTAGCTGGTATTGATGATTTCGAGAGCCTGATATGGCCTGTGGGTAGGACCTCCCACCCCTGTTGTAACAGGACAAGGCTGGAGATCCAAGACCCACCCAGTTCTGTTGAGCTACCTCTTACTTCACTGTTCCATTCATTCAGCAAACTTTCATTGAGCTCATGCTGTGTACCTTGTGCTGTGCTTGGGTATAGAATAGTGGACACAAGACAGCACTTGTGAATCTTATATCCACAAATAAATAATATAGAATGTGTTGGAGGAGGGTGCTTAGTGCTTTGGCCAAAAATAAATCCCAGAAGAAAATGGAGTGGGCATAAGGCTGCCGACTCTAAGTGGGTTGATGTGTGGCAGCCTCGGTGAGAATGGGACATCTGAGTCAAGACCTGGAGGGAACAAGGCAGCTGGCTGTGAGAGTAGTGGGGAGAAGGGCATCCTAGGCAAAAGGCACAGCAAGCCCAGCCACCTCTTGTTGCCCAGGAAGGGCCAGCTGGCCACCAGGTTTATTACTCCAGGTAGGTGTCTCGCTGTGGCCCCCTCCATCCCAGGAGTCAGTCCTCTGATGGTGAGCAGCACAAGCTCAGGCTGGGACAGAGGCAGCTGAACAAGCCAGTCCATGTCCCTGGAAGAGTGTTTTTGAGGAGGTCCCTCAGGAGACTGGGGGCACCGTATGGGTCATTCTGAGTGGCTGAGTGTGCTGGAGGCTAAAAAGAGCAAGGCTGAGAACCAAACAGTTCTTCCCAGCTCAGTCAAGGTCAGTGAAGAGCACGCAAAACGGACCCACGTGGGTGAAATATGGGTGTGCAGGAATAGAAGAAATGTCAAGTTGACACCCAGTCTCCCTCCTGGAAAACAAGTACAGCGTGTGTTCGTTGCATAGGAACCAAATCTCTTGATCAGCAGGATCTGAAACCATAGCGCCAGGCTCAAAGATGGCTGCCAGTCAAGCACAGCATGAATGTGTCGTTTTCCATAAGCCTAGTCATAATCCAATCTCCTGAGGCACCTGTCACTTTTTTCCGTCCCGATGACAGTTCCACCACACCGACATTTTACAAACCTGGGTCTGTTGTGTATTGTGTTGCCCCACTCATGACTAAACCAGGAAGACCCTGTTGGGAGTCTTGGGAAATAGTGATGCTCATCTTTGTGTTCAAAGGATCTTTGGTCTGAAAAGGAACCCCCTCCCCGATTCACAGTGGGAAATCTCATTTGACCATAAAAGGATCCCTGGCGGCATAGTGGGTTCGGAGCTGGGCTGCTCTTCATTCTTTGAAACCACCAGCTGCTCCATCGGGGAAAGCTGGGGTGTTCTGTTCCCATAGAGACTGACAGCTCCGGAAACCCTCAGGGGCAGTTCTCTGCCCTGTAGGCTCACTAAGAGTTAATACTGAAAAATAAAAGTTAATGCTGGCTCGATGGCCGTGAGTTTGGTTTGGGGGTAGTTTGATTTGGGGGGAGTATATTTGCATTGTAGCTTTATGTCATTTCTTTTGCTGCCCTGAACCAAGTAGGAGTCACCTAGCAAGTAACGTGTAATGTGACACCATGTGCATTACCTTACAGGATGATGCAAAACAAGCCAACAGTGACATCCCTATAGGTAAGTGATTCTGTTTTATTAAGAAGCAGCCGTTGTCCCCGTCCCTCACATGCATCGTAAAAGGGAAAGAAGCTTCTGGGTGGTCAGATGTGGGCTCCATGCCCCATTGTTTAGAACAGCACGTGATGGGTGGTGCTGCTGCTCCCGGAACCACCTCGCAGTGCACGGCGTGCTCTCGGTGGTCCCAGGACACGGGACAAGCTATACGACAGATCAGCTGATGGTTTCCTCACTCTCGGTGCCATGGAGTTGATGCCAACTCACGGTGATTCTGTGGGACAGGGTAGGACTCATAGTAACCCTACAGGGCAGGGGAACTGCCCCCTGCCTGTTCTTGAGACCTGAACTCTTCACAGGAATAGGAAGCCCCCGTCTTTCTCCATCGGAGCAGCTGGTGGTTTCAAACTGATGAACTTGAGGATCCAAGCCCAATTCACAACCACTATGCCACCAGGGCTCCTTAACTGATTGTTATGGGGGGAGGGGGGGGGAGTGCAGTGGAGTAGATATAGTAGATTCCCATTGATCCAGTCAGCACAGTGGCTTCTGAGGGGACCTTGGGGGCCATT